TTGTCTGCTTACTCATATCTTTTTCACTTTTGTGTGGTACCAACATAAAAATAACCTGCAAGCCAGGTATGGTGGCTCATGTCTGTAAGCTCAGTACTTGGGAGGCTAAGGCAGATTGATTGAAATAAGCTTGAGGGCAAGCCTGATTACCCAATGAGTCCCAGACCAGCCTGGTCTACAGGATTATATCCTGACTCAATCAATTGATCCAATCAATTCATTCATTAAATAATAATAATAATATGTTGTTGTTATGAGTATTACAAGTAAGCAGTCTAGAGTATTTATACTCTAGGCCTACACAAAGCAGTGAGAATGAATAAACTATGAGTTTGTACAATAACAGACTTTCACACCTGTGGTGGAGTAAAGGATGAAGACACAGTGGAGACCTAGGGTATGAAATGTTTACATCACCTTCACAAACAAGCAAGCCTAGGTTGTGACGTCAGGTGTAGGAAAGTGGCCCATGGTGGAATGTGGTGATACGATGATGTGAGAATGGGCAGAAGGGTGAAGCAGGCTCTGTAGAGCTGGGTTTGTTAATTTAAAAACATCTAGGTTCTTTGTAGACACCAGTTCAAACTCCCCATGTTCAATGAATTTTGTCTTCAACAATCAGGCCTTGACAGGAGTTTGTGGAGAGCAACATATAGTCTTGGTAACAGCCTGGGTTGTTTAGAATTCCTGTGGGGCCACTTTGGCCAACAACTCAATTAGATGTAACTTAATCCTGGTACTGTAAACTTCACTTGATGAGGAGAGATGAGCAGGTAGATCTCTGTCACTCCTGTTAGTGATTTCGTTAAAATCACCTTCATATAAAATGCAAATAGATTCATACTTATCACCCTGCACAAAACTAAAGTCCAAGTGGATCAAAGACTTCAACATAAAACTAGACACACTAAACCACTTGGAAGAAAAACTGGGGAATACCCTTGAACTCATTGGTACAGGAGACAACTTCCTGAAGAGAACACCAACAGCACAGGCTCTAAGAGCAACAATCAATAAATGGGACCTCATGAAACTGAAAAGCTTCTGTAAAGCAAAGGACACTGTCCTCAGAACAAAACGACAGCCTACAGATTGGGAAAGGATCTTCACCAACCCAACATCTGACAGAGGGCTAATATCCAGTATATATAAAGAACTAAAGAAGTTAAAGAGCAAAAAAAAAAAAAAAATCAAGTAATCCAATTAAAAAATGGGGTACAGAGCTAAACAGAGAATTCTCTGCAGAGGAATATTGAATGGCAGAGAAACACTTAAAGAAATGCTCAACCTCATTAGCCATCAGGGAAATGCAAATCAAAACGACCCTAAGATTTCACCTTACACCCATCAGAATGGCTAAGATCAAAACTTCAAGAGACAACACATGCTAGAGAGGTTGTGGAGAAAGGGAAACCCTCCTTCAATGCTGGTGGAAATGTAAACTTGTACAACCACTCTGGAAAGCAATCCGGTGCTTTCTCAGACAACTAGGAATAGCACTTCCTCAAGATCCAGCTATACCATTCCTAGGCATATATCCAAAAGATTCTCAAGTACACAATAAGGACATTTGCTCAACCACGTTTGTAGCAGCCTTATTTGTAATAGCCAGAAGCTGGAAACAGCCCAGATGCCCCTCAGTGGAGGAATGGATGCACAAATTGTGGTATATCTACACAATGGAATATTACTCAGCAATAAAAAAAAAAAAACAAAAAAACAAGGAAATCATGAAATTTGCAGGTAAATGGTGGGATCTTGCCGGGAGCCAAAGCTATCTACTGAAGCCAAAGTCAAAGTTATGTAGTGGAGCCAAAGCTATCTACTGAAGCCTAAGTCAATTAGTGAGTCAAAGCTATCTAGTGGAGACAAAAGGTGTTTATTAGGCCAAAGCCAAATACTGAGCAAAGGTCATTTAGTGGAGACCTAAAGCTATTTAGTGAAAGTTATCTAGGACCCTAACTCATGGGTGAGAGACTGTGAGGACATCCGTTTGTTAGAGCATCCGTGAGAAAACATCCCTATGGTATCTTGCAGGTACCCTATTTAACACATGAAAGCACTCTTCCTGTCTCCTGCAGCAGCTAATTACCTTCCCCCTTTTCCTGCCTTCTCCCTATATAAGTTGGGTAAAAATTTCTAATAAATGAAGCTTTGATCAGACAAACAGACTTGGCTTCCTTCCTTGCGCTTCTCATCCCTTCTCCCCATTCCTTCCACTCTCCTCCCTTAGGAACCCACATTGAAGCCCCGCAAGCCGGGGCATAGGATCTGGAAAAGATCATCCTGAGTGAGCTATCCCAGAAGCAGAAAGATTCACACGGTATATACTCACTCATATAGACATATAATATAGGATAAACCTACTAAAATTTGTACACCTAAAGAAACCAATCAAGAGGGAGGACTCTTGCTTAAATGTTCAATTCCTATTCAGAAAGGCAGAGAGGCTGGACATCAGAAGAAGGAGAAAAGAAGGAACAAGTCAGGAGCCTTCCACAGAGGACCTCTGAAAGGCTCTACCCTGCAGACTATCAATGCAGATGCTGAGACTTATGGTCAACCTTTGGGCAGAGTGCAGGGAATCTTAGGAAAGAAGTGGGAAACAGTAATATCTGGAGAGGACAGGAACTCCACAAGGAGAGCAACAGAACCAAAAAATCTGAGCACCAGGGTCTTTCCTGAGACTGCTAGTCCAACCAAGGACTATGCATGGAGATAACCTAAAACCCCTGCACAGATGTAGCCCATGGCAGTTCAGTATCCAAGTGGGTTCCATTGTAATAGGAACAGGGACTGTCTGTGACATGAACTGATTGGCTCTTTAATTACCTCCCCCTGAAGGGGAAGCAGCATTACCAGGCCACAGAAGAAGACAATGCAGCCACTCCTGATGAGACCTAATTGACTAGGATCAGAAGGAAGGAAAAGAAGTCCTCCCCTATCAGTGGACTTGGGGAGGGGCATGCATGCAGAGGGTGGAGGGAGGGAGGGATTGGGATGGGAGGAGGGAGAGAACCACAGGGGAGATACAAAGTGAATAAAGTATAATTAATAAAGAAAAAAATCACCTTCATATTATATATATATATATATATATATATTATGAAGTTTCTTTTATATTAGGGTTTTATACCATCTCTTGATTGCTAATTAATTTAATTTTATCTGTATCTCCCCATATTCCTTTCTCCAAACCTCCCTATACCCCCATCCCCAATTTATTCTCGCATTCTACCACCCTCCATTTACCAATAACTTTCTATTCTATTCTTCTTTTAATGAGGAATATCTGTTTTCCAGTCCCTTACTCTTTTCACACCCTCTTTGGCTCTATGTATTGGAGCATGGTTAACATTGTTTTAACAGTTAATTACCACATGCAACTTATTATGTACCATATTTGTCTTTCTGAGTATGGGTTACCTCACTGAGAATAATTTTCTTTTTAGTTTGATTTATTTATTTGAAATATTTTTGATGGGGGCTCAAGACAGGTGTGTGTGTGTGTGTGTGTGTGTGTGTGTGTGTGTGTGTGTGTTTGTAGCATTGGCTGTCCTGGACTTCCTTTGTAGACCAGGCTGGCCTCGAACTCACAGAGATCCACCTGTCTTTGCCTCCCCAAGTGCTCAGATTACTGTCATGTGCCACTGTGCTCGGTTTCATTTGGTCATTTTTTTTAACAGCTGAGTAATACTTCATTATGTAAGTGTACCAAATTTTCTTTTCCATTCTTCTGTTAAAACACATCTGGATTGTTTCCAATTTCTGGCTATTATTAATAGAGCAGTAATGAATATAGTCGAGCCAGTGTCTCTGTGGTAAGAAGAAGTATGCGCTGGGTATATCCCAAAGAGTGGATTTTGATGAGATAAACAGTTTAAGTTCCATCTTACTCCATAACCGTCACAGTGATTTTCATAGTAGCACTATGGGTTTGGGTTTACACTCCCACCAGCAATGGGTGAATGTTCCTCTTACTCCACAGCCTCTCCAGCATGAGCTGTCACTTGTGTTACTGATCCTGCCATTCTGACAAGTGTAAGATGAAATCTCAAAGCAGTTTTGATTTGCATTTCCATGATGACAGGATATTGAATATTTCTTTAAGTGTTTCCCATCCATTTAAGTTTCTTCTTCTTGAAAGTTCTCTGTAGAGAGAAAATTTTAATTGGGTTATTTGTTTTTATGATATCTAGTGTCTTATATATTTTGGATATCACTCCTCTATCTGATGTGTAGTCAGAAAAAAATAAAATGTTCTGTAGGCTGCAGCTCTGTCTGAATGAAAGTGTTCTTTGCTGTGATGAAGCTTCAAAGTCTCATGAGGTCTCATTAATTGTTGATCTTATCATCTGTGCTTATTATGTTCTGTTCAGAAGGTCTTTTCTTGTGCCAGTGAGTTCAAGAGTATTCCACGCTATAGAGCCTTCACCCCTATAGTCTAAAATCCTTGGTGCAATAAGGTATTCTGTACACTACCAAAAGATAAATGTAAACACCAAGCTAACCACAAACTCTTTCAATGATGTATTGCTTGCAAGATATACTAGGACAATGGTGGCACAAAGCTAGCCTGAATAACCAACCAATATCTTATTTAACTTAAGGCCTGCTCCATGAGATGGAACCCATACTAGACACTGGTTGGTTGACTCAGAACTTGAGTCTAGATATCACAGGGTCATATGGTAAAAGAATACTGATCTATGCAGCCACTTTTGATGAGAACTGATAGACTAAGATCAGAAAGGAGAGGAGAACCTCCCCTATCAGTGGACTTGGGGAGTGGCATGCATGCAGAAAGGGGAGGGAGGGTGGGATCGGGAGGGGAGGAGGGAGGGGCTTATGGGGGAATACAAAATGAATAAAGTGTAATTAATAAAAAATTTAAAAAAAAGTTTCCCCCCCCCCAAAAAAAAAGAATACTGATCTAAAAGAAGTGGGGGGGGGGAATGAGTGATAACATGACTCCTAATGATATTTTGCTATTCTCATAGATTACTGCTTTGTGCAACCATCATCAAAGAAGCATCATTTTTGCAAGGTGGGAGCAAATATAAAGACTCAGACATTACACAGAGAGTGAGAAACCTTGAAATGCTCAGCCTCAAATCTCCTTAAATCCCTCCAATTAAAGCTCAGAGGAGTCTGCAAAAGTGGAGGGCGGAAAGAGTTGGAAGAACCAGAGGGGAATGGAGGACTTAAAAAACAAACAAACAACAACAAGAAAACAACAAACCAGGCCTTCTAATTTACCATCAAAATGCTCACATGAGCTCACAGAGATTGAAACTGCAGGCACAGAGCTTGCCCAGGTCTGCACCAAGTCCTCTGTATATATACTATGGTTTCCAGTTTAGTGTATTCATGGAATTTCTGAGGGTACAAATTTGTCTGTCTCTGATTCTGTGCTTTTTCTTGACCCCTTTCCCTTCTGTTGGTTTGTCTTGTCCAAATTTGATGTGATAATATTTGTTTTATTATATTACATTTTGAAAAAAAAAGAATGGAAGAAGGAAGGAAGGAAGGAAGGAAGGAAGGAAGGAAGGAAGGAAGGAAGGAAGGAAGGAAGGAAAGAAGGAAGGAATGATAGAAGAGATGAAAACGTAGTCACTAAGGTAAAGGTTAACAACTGAACTGTCACTTATACTTGCTGGGAAAGGAAAAAGCAGTTTTGTTCAACAGAGAGTGATACAGGGTATTTCATCCACTTTAGTCAGGCCTCATGTTCAACAGTAGCTGATCAACTTTTAATGGACTAAACAGATAATGCTGTATGCTTTCATTTGGTTATAGTCTGTTAGAGTTTTTAATCTTTTTTTTTTTCATTTTCAGTGTTGTTTCATTTCAATAAAGTCAGACTGCCTAATCCTTCTCAAGTAGTACCACTTCCTGATGACTAAGCATTCAACTATAAGAGCCTATAGGGACTATTTTTATTCAAACTACCACATTCTCTAAAGAAATGGGATCTATCATCAGAGTTATAAAGCAAAAATCTGATAAGTTAATGATCATATCAATTCTGTATGCTTTAAGCATGAGAGAGAATCTCAATCATTTGTGAATTCTAAATTAGTAGTAGATACCATTTATTTAACTTCATTGATATTAAAGAAAACTTATAATAGTAAAAGCCTGTGACTATGATATCATATTGATTATCAATAAGCAGTATACACTTTGCAGAATTTTTAAACATATATCTGCAAGCTTTCCCAATTCTTTTTCCTGTAATACTATTGAATTGGATGCTATTTCAAAATATTGAGTTGTTTATCTACCCAGATATGTCTAATAAATAAATATCAGATCTATATCTAAGAATTGCATGAAAGAAAAAAAAAACCTGAAGAATTTCTGAGAAAGGACTCATCTACAGTCAGGAAGCAGACATAGGTAAATGTTGCTGCTCACCTCTCTTTCTCCATTTATTCAATTTGGGGTCTAGTCCATGGATTGGTTCTTCCTCTATTCAAGGTGAGTCTTTCTCTCTCAAGGAATCCAATGTGAAACCAGTTCTAAACTATCAGAGAAGCATAATTGTGTTTCTCAGAATCTTCAACTGTAACCAGGCTGAACTATTCTGTTACATATGCAAAACTCAGGATCTGAACAATCAATTCTTATTTTACAGAATCAGCGAACTCATCTTGTGATTATTTCCCCAGTTTCAGAATGACAGATTTACTTAAATTTTGACAGAACTCACATTAGACCTTGCGACGTGGAGTAAGGATTGGAAAAGCTATATTGAAACCTATAGAGTTGCCTCTGCCAAGGAAAATAGGGAATCAAAAACACTAATCACATCCCTAGAGAAATTGCAAAAATTAGTACCCAGCATTAAGAAAGATTCAGAGGTGGTGGTTCCCACCTCAACTCCCTTTATTCTCCCATCTGGCCAGTGCAGAAAACAGATTGATCATGAAGAATGGCAGTTGACCATCAAAAACCTCAATCAGGTATTGACTCAGATTCCAGATGCTATATGAGCTGTGTTGTCTTTAGTTGATCAGATTAACATATCACCCAGTATATGGTGTCCTCCAAAGCTTTGCTAAAAGACAAGAAAATCACACATTTCTCCTTTAATTATCTCAAATCCTCACTCATGGTCTATAAACAGGGACGCCTATCCTTTCTGTGATACTTCCAACTGAAATGAAATGGAAAACAAGAATCCCAGGTGATAGGGACTAACCAGTGATGAAAAGTATCCTTTCACGGTCCTGAGTGCTACCCTGCCCTTGTACAGCTACCAAAAAGGAACGCTTCTCCAACCATTGAGACCACAAGCTGTTGCGTGTTAGTCATCTCTGGGACAGACACTGAGAGAATCACTCTCAGCTCATCCAACTGTCTGAACTGATAAAGGGACATTTAGACTTTCATATTCATTTTACCCAGACCATGCTGATAGCAACAAGACCTTTCTTTTGTCTCAAGTGGAGTACCAGCAGGCCACCAGTCTGATAAAAGTTTAAAACACTGAACAATAGCCACATCCAGATACTTATCTTTTCCCAATATAAGACAATTTCACATCAGAGGTCTAAAGCTTCAGAAGCCAGGTTGACAACCAGTGTGAGTATATTTGTGAATCTGTGAGTGAATGTGTCTGTACCTGTGTGTGTGGTGTGATACTTTTCTAGTTGTAAAACATTTTGAGAGCAAAATTAAATAATATATGCTTATTCTTAACATTGAAATAAATATGTAAACAAAATAGATACAAAGCCATTCTCATGAGTCTCATCCAGTGTGGCTTCTGCACCTTCTTTAAACTGATGAGCTCATTTTTTCCCATAAAGGAGCAGCATGCTCATTTCTCCCTGTTACTGTACCATCAGCCTCAATTAGGACTCTACACAATGTTTACAGTGACTGGATCATATTAGTACAATATCCATGATGAGGTTGCCTGGACACAGAGACTTGGCCAGATGCTCTTTGAGTAAAGCCTGCTTTCTCCAATGCCATTGTGTTGTTTTCAAATCTATTTCATTTCCTAGCCTGGGTAACTCCTCTCTCTGGGTTTATTATTTTATGAAATCCCCTGGGGAGCTATAAGGATGTTGAGTAGTGCGCCCAGAGATCTCATAGATGTCTTAGGTGATTTTCATAACCAGCTTTTTAACAATCACTGCAACTGTCCCCATTCAAGGGAAACAATTACTCACTTTTCAGTCTCAAAGCCAAGTTCTGATTTTAATTAGGTTTTGTGACAAAGATGCCTATACTCATAAATACATGTGTAGCCAGTAGATTTTGTTATTTGTAGCAGTTAGGGTAATTAGCCTGTGGAACCAAAGTGGCACCTAGGTAAAATTATGTTTCAAAGAACTCTCTAGAACCTCTGGGATTTGGGTCATCTTGGAATTGTCTAGGACAATGGTTCTTAAGTTTCCTAATGTTGCAATCCCTAAACAGAGCTTCATGTTGTGGTGACCCTAACCATAAATTATTTTTTTTGTTGCTACATCATAACTCTATTTTCCTACTGTTGTGACTTGTAATGTCCATATCTGAAATGCTGATATCTTAGGTGATCCCTGTGTAAGGCTCTCTGACTCCCAAAAGGACATGGGAAGGAAAAGCATATCCTCATCCTGGAGCCTTACTGGAACTTCTCCAGCTCGGAATGAAGAGTTTCAGAACAATTTACAACATTTGAGATGAAGAGTACTAGCCTCAAGGTATAATTTCTCTCAAGTTTTATGTTAAAATAGCAATGAACCAGGCTTAGGGCCTGAACATGTATAACTTTGAATAGGTCCCCGTCCTTTTTCTTTCTTTCTTTCTTTCTTTCTTTCTTTCTTTCTTTCTTTCTTT